ACTGCATGTTTAATGCTGGAGAATAAAGTCATTCATATAAAAAAAAAAAAACATTTAAATGCTAATTTAAGTTATGTGATGTGCAGGAGTGGGGATGTTGACTGTCTTTAATACTAGTCTTCTCTATAGGAATTTTTGAGAACATGCATTTATGTGGGCAGTGTATGATTCTGACTAGAGAGGAAGCAAACTAGCTCCATACAGTCCTTCTGCAGGGTCTATGAAGAGAGAGACTTTTTGTATTATTAGCTCATGGGTTCCCCGTGCCTAGCACAGTGCCTCGTATGCAATGGACAGTAGGCGTGCTGGTTTATTCTACTGAAATCCATAAAAGAAATAAGCAGAGTGAGTATCTTTTTGTTGTTGTCATTGATACGTTGATAATCAACATATCTACTGAGCGCCTAGAAGACTTTTGTAATTGAAAGGCAGTATTAACTTCTATTTTGGATACTGAGGAAATTTAGTCGTAGGCTTTAGTATACATGACTCATTGACATTCCCTCTGTTTCTGCTTATATATTACCCCTAAATACTTGGGGGTTTGATTTGTTGTTTTTGCAAATGTTTGTTTTCTGCTTTGTAGAGTAGAATTACTCTTTGCAAGTTTTGTGTTCCACCTTTAGTGTTGGGGATACCAACACTGCTGGAAAGAAATTGGGATTTATTTGGAAGGGAGGGAGGGAAATAAAGTATCCACCCTAGTAGCCATCTTCCCTAATAAGGAGAACTGGCAGGATGAGAAGTAGTAGTTAGAGCCTCAGCAAATGGTTTTCAGAGTTTTAATTTCATGAAAACTTGAACCCAAACCTATCAGGTAGATTTCTTCTTTTCAGCCTTCTGGGTTTAGGGGCCAAGAGACTCCTGACTTGCCCAGGTTGAATTAAGGGTAGAGGGGGGTTTGTTTATCTCACTGCTGTGGTCTCCAGGACACCTTCTTTTAGTCCTTTGTATTCTTAGAAACAAAGTCACCTCTTGGCAGTAATAAAGCCACTCAGATGCCAGCAGTCAGAGTTTGGTTTCAAGTCACCAGCCTTGGAGAGGCAGTGCTCGATTTCCTTTGGCAAAGACAGCCTGCCCCTTCTCAGTTCATTTCAGCCACTTGGGCACGAAGGTAATTTCCTCAAAATAGAAACCTTTGAAGACTGTCTGATGCATCCATGAATCATTATGTTTATCCCCAATTCTAATTTAACATTTTAGAATTTTAAAAACACTATTTAGCTGCCTTCTTCTTTCTTGAATCAACTTTCAGAAAAAGTCGGTCTGCAATAGAAGGGTCTAGGCATTTTCTTCTGGGAGACCATGTGGTTGATATTTGCAGCAAATCCATGGGCGGTGGTGCTGACAGATCTAAGTTTTATTCTCAACTCCAGGACTATTCCTGGACGTGTGACCTCAGGCAAGTTCGTCTCTAAGCTTCTATTTCCTCATTTGTAAAATGATTTTAATAAAATCCACCTACAGTGTCATTGTGAGGCAAGAATTATCTGAGGTTACATATACAGAGTGCACATTGCACATAATGCTGAATGGACGCAAGTTCTTTTCCTTCCTTCAGGCACAGGTGAGAGGCCCACACCCTGAGAAGCCAGTAATGGGTGGGCTGTAATCAAGACTCTGAACATTCACATGGCTTTACGACCTGTTCCCAGCTCTGGGCTTACTTGTGGGTTTGTTTTGTTTTGTTTTGTTTTTGTTTTTGTTTTTGTTTTTTTTTGCTAGGCAGGAGGAATAGCTGAAGCAGGAACCTTGTTGTGCTTCTGCCCCAGGATCTATTTAATCTCACATAATAATAAACCAACACAATAGTAATCTTAGCAGCTACGATTTATCTAGCACTTCTTCTATGCTAGGCCCTATGCCAAGCACCTTCTGTGCATTGTTTCTTTTCGTCCTCAAACCTGTATTACAGATATTAACAGGCAGGAGGGATAGCTGAAGTAGGAACCTTGTTGTGCTTCTGCCCCAGCATCTATTTAATCTCACATAATAATAAACCAACACAATAGTAATCTTAGCAGCTACGATTTATCTAGCACTTCTTCTATGCTAGGCCCTATGCCAAGCACCTTCGGTGCATTGTTTCTTTTCGTCCTCAAACCTGTATTACAGATATTAACATCTCCATTGTACATATAAGAAAACTGAGATTTCAGTTTCTTGTTCATGCTTTGCACTCAACACCTTGCTTTTCAGCTGTATCTTCATGGTCCTCACTGAAGTATGGTCAGTTTTACCTTCCATTCACCTTCCTGACTTATTGACACGTGGCCGTCTAGGCTGTCATCCAAGTTCCAACAGTACAGTGCCGGTGCCTTTTGATATCTGGAGCAAAACGGCTAAGTCTCACTGCTTCTTAACTTCACTCCAGCTCTGCCCTGACCTGTGGGCGGCTAGTGAGGCAGAAGGGCTAGAAGGTGGTGCTCAACTCAGCTTCAGTTCCCAGGTGTCCCCAAGGCTTTTCTTGTATTACATTCTTTCCCATAGATTCACCACCCTCATGTGACACAAGTAATGACAAATGGTGCCTCCTAGAGCTGGGTATGGCCAAGAGCTTGCTGTAAGCAGAGGTTATTAATAAGGATGGGGTGGGTGGACATACAGATGGCCAGTTGTCCAGTTAATGAAGGAACACTGCCTTTTGCCTCAGCTCCTGTGATGGTTGATAACTGTGTCCCAAACATAGCTTGTGTTATTTTTATTCCTTTTGCTCACCGATGAGACTGGAAGCTCCTTAGCAGTAGTGCTTTATACATTCCTGTGGGCTTTTGTTTGCTTATAATTGGAAAGATGATGTAACAACATTGGAGAAAATTTATAAACAGATCAATAGCATTCTGCCCCACCCCATAACCTCACCCCCCGAACACGGCAATGACTTTTACTTTATTTTAAAGTTTTTTTCACTCTTTTCCAACATAGGCATACTCTGTTCTTCCATGGTAGTTTCCAGGTCTCAGTCCAGCCTGAAAGCCACCAGGTAGCTGGGACAGAGGCTGGGTCCATGTCAGAGCTTGATAGGTTCCTTTTTTTTTTTTAATTTCACCTGATACTTTTTAGGTATTTTGAAGCCTTGTAAAGGTGTCACTCTGATGTTGGATAGGAGAAGGGCTTAGCCCTCTCCCAGATCCTGGGCCCTGGCCACATTCCCCACATGTGCAACACTGGACAGCGGGCATCGGGTGGGGATGGGCCTCTTGCTCCTCAGCATTGTGACCAGCACTGAGATCCACAGTGTGGGTAGCAGGTCACGGATTTGAACCAGCTCTTCCTAAGGATATTTTTACAAGGTTTTGTGATCAAATGAGTTTGGGAAACTTTGGGTTATGAAAGTTAAAAAATGTTTCTTTAACACAATGCTTTTAATATGTTTATATTCACTGAATCTCAAAGAAGGGAGTTTTATGAAAAATGGTAGCATTTATTGAGTGTTTACTCTTCGTTGGCTCTAGCAGTTCTAGTAAGCTCTTTATAAGCAGTGTCTCATTTAAACCATATAGCAACCGTCCATATGAAGTAGATGCCAGTGCTGTCCCCGTCTTAGACACTGAAAAGGCACCTACCCAATGGCATAGTTAATACACAGTGGGCACAAAGTTTTATGCTTGAGCAGGCAGAGTCCAGACTCCATACTCTTAACCTGTATACAGGACTCATGGTAGGCAGCTGTGACCAAGTCGTTTTATTTGTGACTTCTCATTTTCTATGCAATTAGTAATTGGAAGGACTCTATAGTTGGAGAGATGCCAATTTAAACTTAAAAAGTGAACAGGGACTGCTAGGCAGATAGGGACATGGGGTTCTTATGAATCCTATTGGGTTATTAGCTGGAACTCATACCTTCAGAGGTCTTTGTGTCACATTAGGTTGGTGTTACAGCCTATTC